GTGTCATTGTGTGCTTTTAAGCACTGTGGACTGGCTCTCAACCCTATGACACACACACACACACACACACACACACACACACACACACACACCTCCCAGCCCTCAAATCCAGAGCCCCACCCCACCTGGGAGGGTGAGGCTTGCTCTCAACCCTATCACACACACACACACACCTCCCAGCCCTCAAATCCAGAGCCCCACCCCACCTGGGAGGGTGAGGCTTCTCAGGCTTATGGTTATTAAAGGGCAGCCTAGCCAGGGTTGAAAAGCACTGTACTAGGAACTGTCTGGAGCTAAGGTTCCCTCTCCTGTCAGTCATACTTAGGCTAATGTTTTTAATTAGCTCCTAGACTGAGGGAAATGTCTTACATGGTTATTTATGGATTCCTGCAACGTTTAGCCCTGTCCCTCAAACATAAGGAGTGCTAAAAGAAAACGTTGAATTGGATATAGAGCAGTAGTTTTCAAGGACGCCTTCATAGGTAGTGGATCCTAAAGCGGAACAGGAGTTCCGCTTCCGATGGTGAGCACAGGAATGGCTTAGGCTTGGCGTTGTTTATGTTTATACCTGATGGGAGCATTTAAGAATGTGAACCTTGGCACTGCTGTTTAATATTAATACCACCAATAGAGAGTGGAGTTGTTTTTAATAAATAGCATTATATTAATATATAATAATACAGTTAAATCCCTCTAATCAGTAGGTTTGGGTAAATGTCTTTGGTTAAGATGAAAATGCAGAACAGGGCACTACATTTCGTAATATGGGATTATTGGTAATGTGGGAACTCTGGAGGCCTCAGGAGGACAAAGACAGCTGGTCACTTTGTCCTTCTTCCAGTGATTGGGCAGTGCCTCATGGAGGACAAGCTCAAGAAAACCACAACATTTGAAGTAACTAACTTTCACAGAGTGCCTCAAGAGGGATTGATATCAGAGGAACTTTTCTACCTTGTAGATTTGCTCGTAACGGTCACTGTGGAAGATTCGCCAACCCTTGAGTAGATCACTGAAGAGGTTCCACTGAATTCCACGAACGTTTGTTGAATCCCTGATACATTTGTGTTGAGGGTGGTGGAGACTAGTAAGACAGCAGTGCTCCTCAGTCCTGTCTTCATTATTGCCCCTCCCCCCGCCCCCACCAAAGACCCTTTATAGACATTTTTTCCTAATCATCTCTCTGCAGGTACACTGTATATGGACTTACGTGCTGTACGTATAACCCTTGCTTTATACTTAGAAAAATAGTAAGATTCCGCCCCCAGCCCCTCACCATTGTTGCCCCCATGGGGATTCTGTCGAAGGTAATCCCTGTCATTAACACTGGGTAGGAGTCTTTGATTGACAGCAGTCTTGGAGATATCCTGGTTGGGAGGATATGTAAACATTACAGGAGATCTGAGCATGTTTCTGTCCTTGGGCCTTGTGCCCAAGCTGATGAGGATCTGGACTAAAGCCCTCTTGGTTAAGTGAGGATCTCAACGAGAACCTATGACCAACTTCCTACAGTTTACTGGGAAAATTGTATCATAGTTCGAGGAACGAGCGTTATCATTCTTACTCATGGCCTGCTATACCTGTGCAAGAGTAAAGGAAGAAAGCTGATGTTCTTCTCGGTGGGTCTGTTGCTAAGTGTGTGTGATCCGTGGGATATGAAAACTGAGATAAAGAAGGACAATGGGTAACAGAAATCCATCTTCCCTGTTATTCTGAACTATGAATAAAACAATTCTTAGTGCCCTTTATCTCAGTTTTCTGTGTCTTTTTTTTTTTCTTTTTGTTATTCACTACACAGGAAGCATCCAGGATGCGGGAACATCGTGACATTTGCACAATTTTTATTTATCGCTGTGGAAGGCTTCCTCTTTGAAGCTGATTTGGGAAGGAAGCATCCAGCTATCCCAATAAGGTATGGCACATTGAAGTCTCTTTTTAGCCTTTTTTTTTTTTTTTTTCCTAAGTTAAGAGCTTTTCTGGTACCTATACAAAAGGAATATGAGGCATCGTTTTATAAGATTGGTACCAAATATATCAGTAGAATAATTCATTTTCTGAATTTAATACATTGTGACACTGCAGGGAGCCTATTCTTAGAATAAAATTCCTGCCACGACACTTAAAATAACTCTGATGGAGGCAACTATATATATGTGTGTGTGTGTGTGTCTGTCTGTGTCTGTCTGGTATATGGTCAAAGGCCTGGTGTGACAACCAATTTTTAACCAGTTATGCATATTTTCCTCTTGTTGGTAAAGTTATCAAATATGTTAAGAGTGGTATCGTTGTTACTTTTAAAAGACTGACGGCTTTTGGAGATAGAGGTGGTAGTTACACAACATTGTAAGTGTGCTAAATACCACCGAATTGTTCACTTTAAAATGGTGGATTTTATGTTATGTGACTTTCACCTCAATCAAAAGAAAATGAACTGCAAGCTAAGGTAAAATTGTTGCTTCCAGACCTCCATCCATTAGTCCAAATTTGCATAACTATACTCACGGGGCCAAACGGAAAACAGGGCAGATCTTATAACGAACAGTGTATTGAAAACAGCATTCTTGTTGTGAGAGACTTGAAATCAAAGTGTATTTTTTTTTTTTTTTTTTGCGGTACGCGGACCTCTCACTGTTGTGGCCTCTCCCGTTGTGGAGCACAGGCTCCGGATGCGCAGGCTCAGCGGCCATGGCTCACGGGCCCAGCCGCTCCGCGGCATGTGGGATCTTCCCGGAGCGGGGCACGAACCCGTGTCCCCTGCATCGGCAGGCGGACTCTCAATCACTGTGCCACCAGGGAAGCCCTCAAGGTGTATTTTTTAAATTTAATTTAATTTTATATTGGGGTATAGTTGATTTGCAATGTATTAGTTTCAGGTGTACAGCAAAGTGATTCAGTTATACATATATCCATTCCTTTTCAGATTCTTTTCCTGTATAGGTTATTACAGAATACTGAGTAGAGTTCCCCATGCTGTACAATAGGTCCTTGTTGTTAAATTAAAAGGCGGAACCACACACACTCCAAGTGTGATCCATCCAGTTGTATTTAGTAGGATAGTGTCACTTAATCCCTTCGAGAGGGACGTTCTGGCGTGAATGCATCCAAGGACTGGCTAAGATTCATTGGTGTTATTCTGCAGCCTTCCTGAGTAGCCCGCTGTAGAAAATCTGGCTGAATTTTGTCACTAATATTGCATTTTTAAATATCCCAAGGTGATGCTAAATATTCTGAATACTTTCCCTTCCCCCATTGGCTTTAGTATCTGCATAAAACTTTCTGCTCCCAAGACCAGCATTTATATCAGAGTAGGAACCCCAGCATTTTTTGATTCCTCTGGTCCTTTCCCTCCTCCTTCCACTATTTCTTTCTTCTCTGGCTGCCACTAGCATAGTTCAGGAACGTTTTCACTCTCACCATGACTTTTATAGTAATAGCCTGGTTGGCTGACCTCCTGCCTATCACCTCTTCATCCCTCCATTTCAGCTTCCTACCATTGTATCACGACACCCACTCCACATGCACTCAGGTCACCGTTAGATTCAAAGTGAAGCCCAAACTCCCTAACCTGCCCTTGGAGGCTCCCCATGAACCTGCCCTAACAACCATGCTCCCATGTGTGCAATTCGTGCCGCCTATTTTATTTTCTATCTGGGAAGACGTAATCAAAATCTTGCTCATGTCATTCATCCCCATGAGCGATTTCTAGGCAATACTATGTAGGCAGTGATGTGGAATAGTTGGAATTAATTATCCTGAAAGAACTTGATGACCTCTGTCTCCAGATGGCATCTGTTCAAGACTGAACTAGGAAAATTGGGCAAGAAAGCTTGTGAAATCACCAGTAGTATATTATTTATAAGCTGTGAAGTAGTTCTCACCAGTAACTTTGCATGTGTGTATTACTGTGTTCTGCATTCATTGTAAAGCTCTTCAGACTTTCCAGACTGTGTTCTTTTAGCCCTGGTGTGCACGGGCAGATAGCCCCCTACCTCACCAGGAACGCAAAATTGGTTCTTGTCAGGGAAGATAACTTGAGACTCACTGCTGTCACCTTCTCCAGATGTGCAAAGGTGAAAAGGATGGGGATCTGTGCTCAAAGACTTTCGACAATTCCTGAAGAATGTGGAACCACTTATTCACCTTTGCCCTGCATTCTTTAGCCATGTACTTCAAATATTATTTTTCCCTTGTTGAATGTATCAGGATGAATCATATGAAATTGCTGATGTTCAATCCCTTTTGACCTGCCAAAAAATGGCCTTTTAAATGGTTTAAGCTGATATGTATGAAAGGCATCTTAAAAATTATGTAATTAATTTATTTATTTATAACTTGTTATTTGTGTTCATCCCTTTATCTTTCTAAATAATTAGAGTTCCTGGATTTCTTTTAGTTTTTGCTTTTTATTATTATTTAAAGACCTATACATTCTCAAAAAACAGGGGCCCTAATTTTAAATACAAATCTATGCAAGTCAAATGATGCCCTCATTAATTTGGAGGCCACTGGTTCAAGGTGGGATAATTTTAACAGTTGCTAGGGTGAAAGTAAGCCTTGACTTAGCACATCTTTTCTTTAGAAACAGTGAAAATTAATAGTATAAACAAGTATATAGAGGAAATATTTGAGAGAGTTTAACAATTTTTAAGTTCTTTAGAGCTACATGAAAATTATATACAAAGAACTGATACAATAATAAAAATTATCCATTCACTTCAAAAAACCTATTGCTGTCTGTCAGGTAACTCTTTTTGAAGCCTCATTTATAGTTGCTGTACGTACTAGAAAAATATTAAAATAGTGTTTCTTGGAACACATTCTATAGTTCAAACTTTTTCCACGTTATTCTGGCTTTGTGAAGTATTTTCATATGTTCCTGGTGCTTGACTTCACATGGTAATAGTGATACGATCTTTTAATCCAGAGGAAATAAGCACAAGACTTTTTAAACCAAAAATATGTATTTCCTTCTCTACTTGGTTTTCTTGAAATCGTGGCTCCTGTGTGATGAGCTGTCGTCTCTGCCTCTCAGGTACTACGCCATAATGGTGACCATGTTCTTCACCGTCAGCGTGGTCAACAACTACGCCCTGAATCTCAACATCGCCATGCCCCTGCACATGATATTTAGATCTGTAAGTCTGCCGGCTCATGTGAACATGTTCTTCTGGAAAATGCAGCAAAGTGGGTCCATTAAACACATGACAAAAGTAGAAAGGGCCTGTAAGGAGTAAAGTCTAGGGTGTAAGACTAGGTCTCATGGATGGATAAGCAGAGGCTGGCTTTCATCTGAGAAGTAGGGCAAAAAAATATGAAAGTGGGTGGTTTACTTTTATTTATCAGAGGTCTTACAGGCGATTAATAAAAGGAAAGTTAAAATTTCCCTGGATAACAGATTTTACCTTTAATTTTCTTCATCTGGTTGGTTTTATATTCGTTCTTGCTATGAATGTTATTTAACTTATTTCTCATCACTCTTTGTTTCTTCCATGAAATTACGTTGACTTCTAGTACATGATATAGATACTTCTCTTTTCTGATTTGTTTTGAAAATAGAGACTTCAGATAATTACATAAAAGGAAATTCTTGATGAAGGTAGGGTTTCTCCCAAAGCAGCAGAGGTTTTCATCTTTGCCTCATGCATGGTGGGAGAGCTAGTTTGTATATAAATAAGAACAGAGTGTTCCCAGAAGAACAGGAAAGAAACTCGAGGGAATATAGTTAGGATCGCAGAAGAATGCAAAATACGTAAAAATTGGAATTATAACTTTTCTGTGTGGCCTGAGATTTTTGTGAAATGGAATGTGCTGTCCCTAAAGCAACTTTCCAGAGGTGATTATAATGACTAAGATGACCTTCAGAGCATTGATCACAGAATAGACTTTCAGTAGACACTTGCTGATTGATTGACAACTTTCCAGACAAGAGACAGATCCCTGCACAACTTCATTCAGTCAAACTGGGCGAGGAGAAGCTTGTTAAAGGCTCCTATAAATCAGATGGGAAATTTGACAAAAATACGTCTATAACATACTTCATTCCTGCTAGCCCAGCTTCAGCTTTGACCCCTTATTGAGAATTGATCATTTTTATTCTCATTGTCAACTTTAAAATGTTGTATTATTTTACGTGTAGATTGTTATGGTTTGTAACTTCTGCCATCCTAGCAACATGGTGTACCTCACTGATCATTCATCCTAACCTCCTCCTTTCCAGCTGTTTCCCCCACCTTGCCCCTGTTCATACTTATCTTGAATTGTGTTATCTCCTTTCCCTAGTGCACTAAAACTCTGTTGTCTCTTTTCACAGGGTTCTCTAATTGCCAACATGATTCTAGGAATTATCATTTTGAAGAAAAGGTAAACAATACTCTTTTATATTTTGTGTACAGGAAGGATAAGCTGAGCCCCAGCCATAAGCTCATCTGGATTCCTTTTCTCATAGTGATGATAAGTTTGTGCTTGGCCATCTGCCTTGTTTCTTAGGTCTGTCTGTGACAGTGGTGCTCATTCCCGAGGCAGTGGACCAGGTGAGAGGCCCCACCTGTGGCTTTGGAGCAGCATATTCTCTGTGTAGAATTAATAAACTCCTGTCATCGTTGAATCTTTAGTACCATACTAATCTACGAAGCCAATTGCTCTAGAACTTCACTGTCCCACGTGGTCACCACTGGCTACATGTGACTATTTACATTTAATTTTAAATATTAAAAAGTAAATAAAATTAAGTATATAGCTTCTCCATCTCACTAGTCACGTTTTAAGTGCTCAGCAGCCACACGTGGCTAGTGGTGACTGCCTTGGAGAGCCCAGATGTGGGGCGTTGCCAGCTTCCCTGGAGTTCTGTGGGACAGTGCTGTCCTAGGAAGCATACAACATAATGAGCTAAGAAATAATCATACGTATTATAAAGAAAATTGCTAACAAAGGCCCAAGTGGCCAAACAAGATGCGATAAAAAGTTTCAGGACCGTTCTTTGTAACTGTCACCAGTGGCTCTCTCTGGGTACGGCTGGGAAATATCAGAAGTATCTGGGATGCTGTTGCCAAGCATTTGTCTCTCACCTTCATTCGGAGCCTCACTCCCAGGGAGGAGAGGTGTGGAGCAGAGACAGCCCGTGCAGTCTGGAACACTTCTCAGGGGGAAGTTCATCCTCACTGTTGAGACCAAAATCGTCCAAGTTGGTGCCTGCTTTTCAATGTATTCAGTACCCAGCCCGAAGTATTAAAACTCTCCGTACCAGCTTGGAAAGTAGCTGTCAATTCAGTGTGGGAAGCTAGAGTTTTTAAGTAATAAGGGCTGTGTCATGAAAAGGCTCCTTATCACGAGCTCTTTGTCTCCTGAGGCTTATGTATTCCCCAGATAAGCACCATTGTAGTTGATTTCTTTTCTAGGTTCTCTCTATTCAGGCACACAGAGGTAATGGTCAGGTTCATTATCTTTGAAGGGACCCCTGTGCTTCTTGGTAATGTAAAGGTCACATTGGGACAGACCCGTGGTCTTTCCAACCTTTGATTTTGGCGCATAGCAGGGATACAAAAGAACTTATTATAAAAGGAATGTATTCTCCTGACATACCCCAAATGTCAGGGGGCCTTAAACATTGCAGTTTTCCTTAAGAGCTTGTTTTTAGTCTGTCATCTGGAATCTCTCTAAGTCTTTTTTGACTCTCTCCAGTCTGTATCCCCCAGAGAACAGGAATTTCCCTAAGCTAACTGTCTAATATCATGGTTTAGTAATTCTCTCCTTTTGTTTATCTTGAGTAGCACCCGTCAAGTTTATAGTGTGTTCCCTTTTCCAGGATTTGAAGACCAAATCTATATTCACCTTAACCATGCCCTTCATTATTGTTTAGGCCTGAATTTGAGACCTCCCTGTCTGATCTTTGCAGACTGGAGAGTTCCCTTACGTTTCTGTCTGCCCGCAGCAGCGCCTGTGTCCTCGCCCACCCCTCTTCTCTAGCGTGGTGCACTTGGCCCCTTGCTCTGTCCCGCAGCCAGTTCCGTTGGCCATTTTCTGAGGCGCTGTGACCAGAACTATACAAAGTATTTGAGTAGAAAACTTCAGATGTAAGGTTTTAACTTCTTTTCATTCCTGTCTGAGGCCTTTTGCTTTATCACCAAGAGCCTGAGAGGGACGTTAATTGATACTATTTTAGTTAATGTGAAATGCCACTCTTATTACTGCTAATAGTCCTATTAGTTTCATATTACTTGCTTTATCCAACTATGCCAACATTTCAAAACAATATTTAAGAGACGTAAAGACAGTGCCCTCCCCTGCTGCTTGTCCCTGATATTCCTTCCGCCCTTCCTCTCATGCTGTGTCTCTTCACACTCAGGTCTGGGCCCCAGAAGCCAGGGAAAGCAACAGGCACCCCTTAAGATCTAGCAGGCTTTCATCTGGACTCGAGAGCAGGATGGGCTGTCATGTCTGGTCTGTCTTTGTTTTCTGATGAAACAATCTATTGGTGCACAAACTATGGGAAACAAACTGTCTTAAACACCACCAGAAAGGGCACTGTTTAGAAACTAGTCGGCATCCTGATTCTTTTCATGCACAGACTTACGTGGACTCTGCTGGGAAGTGCTCCCCTTGATTGTGTTTTGGTGACTTGTACTCTCATGAACCATCTGACTGTCAACGTCATGTGGAAATTTGTATCTGTGCTTTCCTGAGGTGCTCTTTTTCTTATTTTTGCAGATACAGTGTATTCAAATATGCCTCCATTGCCCTGGTGTCTGTGGGGATATTTATTTGCACTTTCATGTCAGCAAAGCAGGTGGTAAGAATCTGTTCACAAATGATTTCTATTCACTACTTGCCTTGGGGGCCCAGGTACTTATTAATGATATAATAAATGTAAGTGCTCATGTAATACAAGGATTTAAATCTCTGAAAGAGAAGAGTAGAGGGAAATGGGTAACATAAATATTTCCCTTGTATTGAGGCCCCTTGAATGTAGTTCTGGTCTCTGTACCTTTTATTTTTTCTTGTTTCCTAGACTTCCCAGTCCAGCTCGAGTGAGAATGATGGATTCCAGGCATTTGCATGGTGGTTTCTAGGCAAGTACAGTAATTACAATAAAGCTAATTGCTTCTGCAGTTCTGTTTTCAGAGGTTTCTCCTAAGGGATATGTTTCTTGGCAAGAAGCTTTGGCTAAACAAATTATGCCATAGAAGAGAGAGGCATCTGGGATTATATATCTCTGAACCTTAGTGTTCAAGAAACGAAAAAAAAAAAAGTCTGTATTCATGGTACCGTGTTCTACAGCATGGATGCTGTTTTGGTTGCCACTGGTGTAGAAAGAAAAGTCTGTGTCTAGTTGCCCATCACACTCTCTGGGAGCAACAGAGTATCATCCATTTCTTTATGATCTGTCTGCTGAGCAGAAGCTTCTACAAAAGGAGGGCACATTACAGCAGTTGAGTCTTTAAATTTCCAAGGGACCCATTTCTAAATCTTAGATTTATTTTCTTCATAAGCTGTTCCACATGGCAATGTTCCCAAACCTGACGGATCATCACAATCTCCTGGGGAGTTTTCAAAAATACAAATATCTCTTTGTTGAATTAATTAAACAACTCCTATAGAGCTTTGCCCTTGCTGTGTATGATAGAGAGGGGAAAGTTAGTGATGGCAATAAGATATTGAGACTGACCAAATGGAAGAAAAGTAGCAATGAAAGAACTATTCTCCTCGCCTCTTGACTTTGAAACTTTATCTCTTTAGATTGTTGTTCTTAACGTAGAAAGCTCTTTATCAGCTATTAGAAAGATACTTTATCCAATAAGAACTTGCAAAAGACATGAACACACAATTCATGGGGATAAAATTGATGTTCAGTAAACTTATGTTCAGCCTTGCTAGTCTAGTAATCAAAGAAATGCAAATTGAAACCAAAATGCAGTACCTTTTAATTTTGGTCTCTTATATTGGCAAGATAATAAATGATTATTCTCATTGCTACTGAGGATGCAGTAAGGCCACCATTTCCATATAAACTGTTTATGGTAAATTGACACAGCCTTTCTGGGAAAAAAAGTAAGCAACCATTTCCATATAAACTGTTTATGGTAAATTGACACAGCCTTTCTGGGAAAAAAAGTATGTGTATGTATTGAGTTTTTAAAATGTCTACAACCTTTGACTCAGTAATCCCCCTTATGAGAGTGTATCCTAAGGAAATAATCAACATTTTGTTTAAAGATTTATGTACTAGGATGTACATTGATTTTAATGATGAAATAATTGGAAGTAATCTAACCATTCTTCTATTACAAGACATTTAAGTATGGTACATCCACATGATAGAATAATATGCAGCCATACTTTTGAAAAAATTTTAATGAATGACTTGAAGGAAAATCCAGGAAAAAGGTCGTGAAGAAAGCAAGATATAAAATTATATATTCATTATGATCCTGTCTCAGCATAAAATATCTACCTAAGTATATATACAGAGAGAGATAGCAAACTGTTTAGGACTGGATGGTAATATTGTGGTTGATTTTTATTTCTTTTTAAATTTTGTACATGTTGCACATTTAGTGTGTAATGTTTGTAGAACTTAATGTTCTTTAAGAAAAGATCTGGAAGTTAGCAAATGCAGGCATCTTGTAACTCGATGTTTGCTTTTTAGGTATTGGGGCACTGACTTTCGCTCTTCTGATGTCAGCAAGGATGGGTATTTTCCAAGAGACTCTGTACAAACAATTTGGGAAACACTACAAGGAGGCTTTGTTTTATAATGTAAGCAGTTTCTTGAACCCAGGGAAGATGAAAATTATTGAGTTGTTATTGTAATGTGTTATTTCAAATGTGATATGTCATCCTTCTGATGTAGTCGAAGGATCAATTTATTATCCAATAAACTGTTTTGGGGCCCACGGACTTTGGCACTTTTAATAGGCTGCCACAGTTCTCTACACGAGGTGATCATTATCAGTCAGTGTGAACAGAACATGTCTGCCAACCAGGAACAACCCCAAGGGACAAGGAACCCAATGTTCCTATAGATGAAATCAAGTTAAAACCACTATGGAAACCTAGAAAGGGAATAGAAGTTTCAGAAACCCCATGCCGAGGAGAATATGTGCGGTCAGGCATTTGGGAGAGTTGGGGAAGATGGGATTTGAGGAGTAAGTCCCTCAGATGGGCTTTATTCTTTTGATGGAGAGTTTAATTAGTTAATTATATACGCTTTCACTTCTTGTTTGAAACTGCTGATCTAGAGCCACCTCCTCTAACTTTCCTCTTTCTCCCCCGTCTTTTCTGTTGAAATAATGCCCGGCTCCTCAAGGTCATGGTGATATCATTGCCTCCAGATTCAGTAATCTCAGGGATTCCTTCCCTGCCAACCATTTGTACTGAAGTTGCAGACAAGCAACTTGAGACATTTACTTAGAACTAGAGTATGTGGCTGAGAATGTAAAAAATAAAGGAACATTCTGTTTGGTTTCCGTGTTTCTTTTAGCATGGTACCTGGTGTATAGTTAACTGCTTGGTAAATGTTTACTGTGATTCCTTGTTATCGTGGTGGTAGTAGTGGTGGGTTGTTGTCAAGCACCTTATCTTTGCTTACCTATTGTTTCCCCTTCCTCTTCAATCTCTTCTTATTCTTGTCTTCATTTCTTTATCCCTGACTTCATATTGTCCTCCACTCTCTTTTCCCACTAGTTTCCTGAACACCCTAAAATCTGCCTGCACGTTCCATATAATTTTTAAATCCGTTATAGTAAATAGTAAGAATAGTAAAATGTAGCAGATCCTTTGGGCAGAATGACTGTGTGTTTCAATTTTCCATTCCCTTTTGTTGAGGAAAGGATGCTGGCTCTATTTTTTTGTTTTGTGTGTAATGACCATCAGACTTCAAAGGGCAAGAACTGTAATTTGGGGGTTGATATCATGCCCTACAATGTAAGTGGTCAGTAGCACTGGATACTTTTAACTTAATAAATAAGTCTGACTTGCTTTTCTTGATATTGCTTGTTAAACAACTTGTAAAACTTTCAATCAGTGTAAAGATACTCTAATTCTTCTATAATGTTTTTGCATTTAAATTTACATGAAATGTTTCTTCCCCTAGCATGCCCTTCCACTTCCTGGTTTCATCTTCTTGGCTTCTGACATTTATGACCATGCCGTTCTATTCAATAATTCTGGTGAGTTTGGGGTTACCTAGTAGAATTACCTAACAGTTTCAGAGGCAGCGTCTTCATTTTACTCTCGACTTGACCACTGCTTTTTTCATGGTCTTATCGAAATCATCTGTCACCCTGGAAACAGTCCCCATTCCACCTTCCTGGAATATAGTGCCATTAATCAGTGGCTGCAGCGGCAAAAGCCTTTATAGGCACTTCCCAGTCACTGAAGTAAGACAGTATCTTCAGATTTTCTGTTGTGCTGTGGAATTTGTGTTTGCATTTGAATGTGCAATGTATGATGTTCTGAGAATGCAAACAAATAGTAATAATACTGCAGTGACTGGAGCCGTGAGAAGTTGGGCAGCAGTCCAGCTTCTTTACTCCTGTTCTCTGCTGGGAAAGGCAGTCTGCTCACAGATCCAGGCCGAGCTGCCTCTGAGCAAGGAGGAACAAAAATGATGACAGGGCTTTTTCCTAGTTACAGGGCAGATAGGCAACAGGAGTAAACAAAATTAGTTCAAATGTCTACAGTGTAAGTTAGCTATTACTTTTTTTTTTTTTTTTTTTTTGAGGTACGCGGGCCTCTCACTGTTGTGGCCTCTCCTGTTGCGGAGCACAGGCTCCGGACGTGCAGGCTCAGCGGCCATGGCTCACGGGCCTAGCCGCTCCACGGCATGTGGGATCTTCCCGGACCGGGGCACGAACCCGTGTCCCCTGCATCGGCAGGCCGACTCTCAACCACTGCGCCACCAGGGAAGCCCCTAGCTATTACTTTTTAAAGGATTTCATAAATTAGCTAATAATTGCCAGTTAACTTCAAATAAATTACTGATATAATCCTATTATCTACTAAAAGACATAGCTTGTTATACAGACAAATGAATACACAAGGAACAAATACACAGTTTTAAAATTAAGTCTTCATGTTGCTCAGACCTAAAATGGTAAGTGTATTTTGTAGAATGACAGTAGGTGCTGAGTAAACATTTGTTTGCTATCTGGTCACAGGTTGTGAAGTTGTGACTGTTCTCTGTTTGAGTTTGCAGAATTGCCTGTCCCGTTTGCTTGCAAAAAGTGTGATGGTGGCAATGTGTAAGAAAGTTTTTAAGGCTCTGAATTACTCAATCATTTCTGACTTTTTTTTTTTTTTTTTGGCAGTATGCGGGCCTCTCACTGTTGTGGCCTCTCCCGTTGCGGAGCACAGGCTCCGGATGTGCAGGCTCAGCGGCCATGGCCCACGGGCCCAGCCGCTCCGCGGCATGTGGGATCTTCCCAGACCGGGGCACGAACCTGTGTCCCCTGCATTGGCAGGCTGACTCTCAACCACTGCGCCACCAGGGAAGCCCCTGACTTTTTTTTATTGAGGTATAATTGACATATAGCTGATTTTTGATGCAGTGGTTTTTAAGGTCTCTAAGAGTCCCCACATAGCAAAGGGCTATGGAAATAAACACATTATCAAATTCCTTAGGATTGATATTGATTTAGTTACTAGAATGCTCCTTCTAAAAGTCACAGGGATGGGTATTTTTATAAAAAATTTTTTAACGTCTGCTTTCAAAAAATTGAATCTTTAGAATCATTCCTAAGTGTACATTTTTTTCTCTTGCTTAAGTGTCTCCGATGAACGTGTTATCCTGGAATGTTCTAAGGGAACTGTACATCTGTCTAAATACTTTATGTCATGCTGATTGTCTTTCCTCAGCAAATTGATACGGTGAATCTCTGAAGTGATTAAACAGTAATAACATTTGTTAACTTTCTTTTCATTTCAATACTTGCTAAGTGTTTTAAAGACAATAGAATACCAAATTATGGGGATTTCCCACTAGTCCAGACATACAATTTTAATAAATTATTTATATATATGAATTTTTATTTTTCGCAAAAGAAAATTAATGTTCATTTACTAACCAGATCTCAACATCACTTTGTTACACTTTCCTCAGTTATGCTGTATAATTCAAGCCCCACAAACAATTTAGCAATATAAAAAAAACTGACCCTTTGAGGATTACTATGTCCTTATTCTCTGATCTTGGATATTTTATTTCCTCCCACATATTTAGTGTGCAAGTCTCATGATATAAAACTAACATAAGAATGTATTTAAAGGAAGGAAAGTTACAGTTCATCACCCTACACGTGAGCTAATTTCATTTTACCAGTTTCCTTCCTGACTCTATTCGCATACATTCTTACATAGTCGTAATCCTTGTGTAGATATAATTTTATACTTGCTTTTTCACTTTCATTCTGAGTTTTTTATATGACTATATATAATCTTTACGATTTTTTTTTTGTCACGTATATAACGCCTCATCTAATTTGCTTACCTTAGCTTACATAGTCCTTGCTCTATCATTGGACATTTAGATTGACTCAGAGTATTTCCTTATTATAAATATGACTGCAAAATATATAAAACTTTTTTCTTTTGAATTAACTAGGATTAATTCCTAAGAATAAGAAGCAATACTTTTATGGCTCCTTAATACATACTGTGAAATTGATTTTTAAAACAACACCAGGGCTTCCATGGTGGCGCAGTGGTTAAGAGTCCACCTGCCAATGCAGGGGACACGGGTTCGAGCCCTGGTCCGGGAAGATCCCACATGCTGTGGAACAACTAAGCCTGTGCACCACAACTACTGAGCCTGCACTCTAGAGCCTGCAAGCCATAACTACTGAAGTCTGTGCGCCTAGAGCCCATGCTCCGCAACAAGAGAAGCCACCGCAATGAGAAGCCTGCACACCACAACGAAGAGTAGCCCCCTCTTGCCGCAACTAGAGAGAAAAGCCTGCGCACAGCAACGAAGACCCAACACAGCCAAAAATAAATAAATAAAATAAATAAATTTATAACAAAACAAAAAAAACACCAATTTATACTTTCACCCACTGAATGGCTGCTACTTCCACTACCACCTTGCCAGATTAGGATATTATTTATAAATGTTCAATTGCTAACTTAATAGATATAGAATGGTACAGCCTTGTATAATTTAGAATTCTTTGATTAAGGATTGAACATATTTCCAAATGGCATTTAGTTATGGGTTATATTACATCTTGTGTTAACTGTCAGTTAAGATCATATCATTCTGAAGCTCTCTGTGTTTCACACTCTTTCTCTGTAAAGTGGGGTTCTATTCAGGTGAACGGTAAAGAGTTTTTTTTTAAAGTAAAATAAATTATAATTTGTTTTAAGAAACCAATGTAATGACTCTTGAGGCTGGTGTAGCCTCGAATCAAGGCAAGTAAGTAGTGTATGATCCAAATGTATTTGCAAGAGAAATAACGCTTCTATTTCTGTTATGTTCATCTGTGTTACTTTGTTCAAAAAGATGAAAACATAAGCTGTCGGAAGTGATACAACTCTCTCTCCTCTTAATCTCTGCAGAATTATATCAGGTTCCAGTCGTTGGTGTGATAGTGCCCATCATGTGGTTCTACCTCCTCATGAATGTCATCACCCAGTATCCTTTGCACCCCTCTGCCATATGGCCTTTGCTGTGGTATTTTGGCATAGGAATGTTTATTCCTTTCTTCTAATGGTGCAGTGCCATGAGTTTCGTTTTTGCCTTTGATCTCTTCTGCGGTAAGCAGGAGACAGACAGGCCCATCCAGTGAGCTCCTTTGTTGCGGGAAGAAGGGGGGAAGAGATGCTGGTGGTGTGGAGGGTCAGTAAGTCCCAGGGCACCAGGAAGGAAAAGCTCTGGGTGGAGGTGTAGAAATCAATGGGTAATTAAGGGTTAGTGTATGACAGAAATGTGCTGTGATTTCTACATGGAGTTTTCCAGTGTCCTAGGATGTTTCACAAGCTGCCACAGAATCCTGCAAGAAATTTCAAATTAAGTAAAACCTGATTTTTAAAATGGCTCTTTGGAACCACCGGTAAGTCCATTATAAAAATCATTGAGTCTTTGAAACAATGCAAGAGATTGAGATGGACCTCATTCCTCTGAAGTCACCTCATTCGTTTGCCCTACAGAGTTCTTTTTGGGAGGAGGTGTGATCACCTTTACCGAGAGCGTTACCTTCTGTCATTACTGGGGAGGCGACTTCTCTGTAAACTCTGGCAAGAATCCAGGATAAGAATAATAGGAGGCTTTCAGGCAGTTTCAAGTTAGGATCCACAAATGGAATGGCAAGCCAGGAATTCTACAGGATATTCTAGCAAGGAAGAGCCTCAGGGCAGCTGTAGCCAACCCCCATGTTTTTTGGGTCCTAGAACAGAAGGTTCTCCCACTGATCTCTGGGTTGTCTACAGAAAACCACCTTAACCCTGCCCCTCCAGGTACGTGTGCATCCGGGGCGTCTTCATCCTGACCACAGAATGCGCCTCCCTCACCGTCACCCTCGTCGTGACTCTACGCAAGTTTGTGAGCCTCATCTTTTCCATCTTGTACTTCCAGAACCCTTTCACTTGGTGGCATTGGCTGGGCACCTTGTTTGTCTTCATTGGGACCCTAATGTACACAGAGGTGTGGAACACCCTGGGAGCCACCAAAGGCCAGCCTCAGAAGGAGGCCAAGAAGAGCTGAGGCCTTCCTGGAGTAGAGAGACCCGAGGCTAGTGAGCCAGGGGCTGGCCACCATTTCACCTTGGTTAATGCTGAATCACCCCCCATGTGCCAGAGAATCCTCAGAGGGACGCACTTCTCAGATTTCTCATGCCTATACAGACCAACATTTGTGGACCCTGAATAGAAGCCCCCAACCCTGAAATAGGAAAAAAAAGAACAGTTCTCCACTATTGAACAGCCTTTCCATTTGTTGTTTCTACCAGAATTTCAGCACTGTACCTTCTTATTGAAACCTGAGTCCCCAGAGCTACTAGTTTTACATCCACTGTCTTGGACAAGATTATCCCTGTCCTGATGATTCTCTGCTGTAACAGTCTTTATCCTCCTGTGGCCTTTCCCCTTGTTCCATTAACCTGCCACCCACAGCAGCACTCTTCAGGCAGACGCTCCAGGAACCCCCCCCCACCCCCAACCAGGAACAACTGAGTGGCCGGGTGAACCGACGCACCGGGATGCTGGGGCTGGGCTTTCTCCTGTGTGTTGGGAAAGAAGCGGGTGTCCCTCTGCACCCTGGTGACCCCGGGGCAGGACTGGTGGGAATCCTTTCCCACATTTTTCCTTTTTTTGTTTCTATGCAAAAGTCATATGCTTTCACACCTTTTGCTTTCTGTACTTAGAACAAACCTGCAGCATCTCTGTATGGCACAGTGTTAATAAGGAAGAAAGGTTGTGTATGAATTGGGAAAGAGAGACTTTTTCTGTCTTCTCTCAGTTTTCTGGTTCATTAGCCTCGAGCTAAGATGGTGACGCCAGGATGGCCCAGGAGAAGCTGGCTCCGGGGGCAGGGGCACCCAGAGAGCACAGACAGGCACTGAGGGTGGGCTCCACGTGGGGGAGCTCCGCCTGGCAACTCTGATAGTTATGACCAGCCAGGCTAATGAGTGAACCAGTATATTCAGTGGGTGTGGGTGTGGTGTATCAGTCAGGCCAAATCACAACTAAAATGGAAATTTTTTGGGGGGGGGGATGTCATCTTAATGTTCTTGATGGGTATGGGAGTGTGTGTGTTTTATCATATGTATTAATAGAAACATGCCCCCCTTTTGCTAATCATTTCAAAGGTCTGGTTTTCCTCCCATGGGATAACTTTGAGAAAGAAGAAGTGTCAGGATGCCACATGTAGGTGTGTGTGTGCTCTCGTGTGGGTTGTGATCACTTGGGAGAAGAGGAGAGCATGAAAGTCAGTGTTTTTATTCCCTTGTCCTTCACTCAGCTCGGACCTTCATTGTCTCACGCAGGTACGTGCTCTGGAGGCCGTCAGACTTACCAGCCCATCTTTTTGCACACAGACAGAGGCCTCTCCTTCTGCGCTGGGTTCAGGTTGTGTTCTTATATGGAGGTTTGGCTCTTGAGCTCACCCAGGGTGTGGTGTGTTTATTCTACTATCTGGAGCTATTCTCTGATGGGTCTGCGATAACTATCCTAGAACCACCGGGTTGCTTTGGGGAAGTCCCTTAGGCTGCTCGGGTTTTTTGTTACATAAAATGTGGATGCTGTTTCTCCACCTAAGTCACAGGGTTTTCAGATCAATTTGTGGTTCAGGACATTGACAGCTGTTCAGTGCCAGTGAAGGTCTATACTAAAAGATGCGGAATTAGGTGTGAACTTGTTCATGGACTCAAAAGGTACTGTAGAGTTCCTCAGACTGATGGTGCTATAAATACCATGTGGTAAATATCCTCTTAAAAACAAGAACAACAAAAGCTACTTTTCTTATTGTTTAATAGAAGAACCTGTCCCCAGGGGCTATTTGATTGCTGCATATCTGGAGTCTTGACAGGATAACTCCTAACAGGATAGAGCCTTACATGACGTAGTATCACTTTTTTTATGTTGATGGAAAATATTACAATTTTTAGTTACTGAAACAGTGTTGATGTACACAGACAGCATTTAACTGGGTCCACGAGGTTTTAGATTCTGGCTTTAGAGTGTGTGTGTTCCTCAGTCTGAACACCTCTGCTGGTCTTATTAACAGGAGGATATGTATGGACAGAGTAAGGCACTCATACAGTGAAATAAGCGCATGTAAGAACAGAATGTCTGAAATGCCCTGGGAATTGGTTTTTTTTCTCTAGTATTTGGTTATGAGGAAATAAATCTAACAGACACTAGTTAATACTTCTTTAAACAATTTATTCCCCTTGGTTAACTTATTTTTCAATCCAAGTTGAAACTGATTTCAATCCCTGTTAAAAGAGCAAATAAACCATTTTATAGAGGGTCAGACTCATCCCTAATTGGAGGAGAAATGTCTATTAAATGCCTTTCATCTTTCTGTGGGTCAAGACCATGTAATTTTGTGCCCCAGAGATAGAGGGTTTAGTTTGTTTACACGAGAGATTGGTGTTTAAGGCATCCAAGACTCTACCCTTAGAACAAAGATCAAATAGCAAATGACTAGCCAGAAAATTGTGTGTGTGTGTGTGTGTGTGTGTGTACACCTGTGTACTCACTTCACAGCTTGACCAGAGTCGTGAGGTACCAGGAGAATATGGAGGACACTTGAATTATTTAATGTGTACAGAACCTTTACCACAGTTCTATTGTCATATTATAAATGTTTTCATTTTTTATTAGGAATTTATTTTTGATCCTTTCTTTTCTTTTTCATCCAACTAAAACCGTTAATGCATTTGACAAGTTTCTATCTAGTTCTAAAGTATTTAGACACAATCCACATCGTTTTTTCCTTCTTCGTGCCCAGTTATCCAAAATGAATACGGTACTTTAATTAGGTCATCGTGTCGAGTGAAGAAAAACCACGAAAGCTGAGCTGATCTGTGCCACCCCTACCAAACCCCTTCCATTCTTCTGGGAAGGTCACCTGATCATTCTGAAGGATTCTAATATCTCGCGGTCATTTCCTGAGCACGTTTCCTCCCTTCTGCATGTTTTTTTTCACTTCTGATCCCCCACTTGCAGTTTCTTCAGCAACCTCTGGTCACTCACGTAGTTTTCTACTAATCTTGTATCTGTTTATGCCTCTATTCTTTGGGGCCTCTGGGTGTTTGTGGATTTTTACAGGGTATACGTATCCGTGTAGCATGTATCTTGTTATGCATTGATACTAGGGGAGTGTGTCCATAAGGATGCGAATATCTGGCAGAGTATGTGAATGTATGTGTAGATGAATATGAATGGGATTTAATGTAATAATGTAATGTGAAAATATTTATATGTTCTGTTGTAGCTCAAAGTGGGGCTGAGACTCCTTACCACGTTCGTGTCTATATTTGGAAAGCAGTAGTATCTGTATTTTGCTCATTTTTACCCTGCCTCCAGCTGACTTCACTCTCAGTGCCGAATGCCTGTGGTGAGAGGAGGTGGAAAGCATTAGGTCAGGAGTAATTGTAAACCAGTAAATTAGCTCTGGGCTGGTGGACATGCTCATTGGTGGACAGCTGGCATATGAGACAATGTAGCAAAGACCTGAGCATCTCCACAGATGCACATTGAGAGGCACCCCAACGTAGAGATCTGAAATCAAGATCCTACAATTTGTTGTAGTTTGTTTCTCTTTGGCTAGGAGTAAATAGAATTATGAGCATTTTGGTCTCAATAGCTTTATTCTGAAAAATGTGCATGGAATTTACCTGTGGCAGTTCAGTCTTGGGTTGAAAGAACTGTCAGTATAGATAAAATCCATTTTTATTACAGATGCGTGACCTTTGAAAACGAGTATAAACAGTGTCAGTAAAATAACTAGTCATAAGCATTGGAATATGTTCAGTGTGTACCAGGCTGGGGTGGGAGACTCTGTAGTGTGCTCTCTCTTTCTAGCAGCTTCCTCACAGTGGACCTTGCAGAGAAGGGAGGGACCAGGCTCTGACTTTTGTCCCATGAATAAATAAACCCTTACCAAGATCTCTTATTCCCTCAAGTTTCGGAGAAACCTTCTAATGGTTCCTGATACCCATTCCCACTCTTCATCAGTTGATTAGCAAGAAAACGAATAAGACGAAACATTCCTAAGATTCTAAGCCAGAGAGGGAAGGAAGGATACACACCAGGAGTTGTGGGTATTCGGCTTTTTGTCCTCCGGTTGCCTGGTGGGAGGAGGGCAGAGCATTACAAATTTAGCACTTTCCATCTATTTGACGCTCAGTGCCAGGAGCTGCCCTCAGGGGACCATTAAAGATGCTTACAAGTTTTTGGAGTAGGCTGCCTGGGGTGACCCTTACATCTCCAAAGCTGGTACAGTTGGTTTGCGTCAGCTGATGCCTAGAGCTCATTGTCTTTTTGTCTCCTCAGTATCATACTGAGACATTCCTCTGAGCTTTACCTACTTAAATCACTAAGATCCTGCAAAATGTCCTCAATTTTCAATCAAGTAAGGCAAGCTGTGAGGGTACCAGAGAGAGGTGAGGGGAAAAGCTTCGTCTACATTTAGAAGAAATAAGACCCATATTTTTAAAGGGAAAAGTTGTAATAATTCTTTGGCACATTGGATTATTTATAGTTTTTAAGATGTAAAGAAGACTCCTGTGAACCGAGAGAAGCAGTAGTTATTCCCCAACGTGATAAAAATGTCTTTGTGTATCACTTGCAATCACAAATCATTTCTGTGTGAGTTGCTTTCACTCCAGAGAATGGCATCATCCTCCAAAGAAAAAGGGGATGATTTTTAAGTAGGATTTCTTAACAGATTATGTGTTGTGGGGCTGGGGAGGGATGATGGGGATTTGATTTATCCAGCCTCCGAGCTCTTCATTCATATTGTGATTTAAGAACAGAGATCGGGGGAGGAGGGGACTAGACAGCAGCAGAATATGTAGAACAGCTAAGACATTAGTGAGTATTCAGATTCTGAGCTGTGTAAATATCAGATGTCGGCTTCCAGCCTTACGAATTATTTGAGCTGAGAGTTAAGGAGGAAAGGGACATTTTGTGAATAAAATGTTTTGCCAAACAAATTGAATGAGTCTTTTTACTATGATTTCTTATAAAGAGCTATTTTCTACCTTCAGAAACAACTCATCAGACACCTGGTTTTTTATCTGGAATTGTACAATCATTGCTTTTTAATAAAAGTGATAAATTTCTTGCAGGTGTTTCCAGTCACCATTACCTTTCAAGTGCTTGTGTGCAGTTTCAAAAGCTCTACAATTTTTGCCTTGTATAGTGGTGGGACATTTTACTACAAACGATGGTAAGCAACGTGTCTTCTAATGCCTGGCAGCTGGATCAATCACAAACCACTTCTCAGGCTACAGGTCAGTTTCTATTTAAGAAATTTAAAGAGGATCGGCTTACCTTGGGAGATTTTAGAGGTTCATGGCAGTAAGTTTCTGTAGCAAATCTCTCAAAACCTCTTTGCCTTAATAGAAATGTTATTTTTGTAATGTTGCAATGGCCAGCTCTCTTTATCTTCCATCTGTTGCCTTTAAATGAATCTTTTTTTTTTTAAACATCTTTATTGGAGTACAGTTGCTTTACAATGGTGTGTTAGTTTCTAAATGAATCTTAATGCAAAAGCAACTTTCAGAGCAGTTTACCACACCCAATCTGTTTTTTTTTTTTTTTTTTTTCAGTATACTCAATTTACAATAATATATTAGTTTCGGGTGTACCACATAGTGACTCAAAAGTTTTATAGATTATACTCCGTTTATGGTTATTACAAAATACTGGCTGTATTCCCTGTGCTGTATATATAATATATCCTTGTAGCTTATTTATTTTATACATAGACGTCTGTATCTCTTAATCCCCTACCCCTATCTTGCCCCTCCCCCTTCCCTCTCTCCACTGATAACAGCTAGTTTATATATCTATATATCTGTGAGTCTGTTACTTTTTTTATTATATTCACTAGTTTTCTTTTTAGATTCCATATACAAGAGATAACAAACAGTATTTGTCTTTCTCCGTGTTATTTCACTAAGTGTAATACCCTCCAGGTCCATCCATGTTGTTGCAAATGGCAAACTTTCATTCTTTTGTTTGGCTGAGTACTGTCCCATTGTGTATATACACATCTTTATCCACTGATCAGTTGATGGACACTTAGGTTGCTTCCATGTCTTGGCTACTGTAGATAATGCTGCTATGAACATTGGGGTGCATGTATATTAATGTTTTCATTTTCTTTGGATATATACCCAGGAGTGAAATTGCTGGATCATAAGGTAGTTCTGGAGCTTTTTTGAGGAACCTCCATGCTGTTTTCCACAGTGGCTGCACTAATTTACATTCCCACCAACAGCGCATGAGGGTTCCCTTTTCTCCACATCCTCTCCAACATTTGTTTTGTATGGTCTTTTTGATGATGGCCATTCTGACAAATGTGAAATAATATCTCATTGGGTTGTTTTTTTTTAACTGATTTATTTTTGGCTGCATTGGGTCTTCATTGCTGCGTGCAGGCTTTCTCTAGTTGCGGCGAGCGGGGGCTACTCTTCATTGCGGTGTGTGCAGGCTTCTCATTGTGGTGGCTTCTCTTGTTGCGGAGCATGGGCTCTAGGCGCGTAGGCTTCAGTAATTGTGGCGCACGGACTCAGTAGTTGTGGCTCACAGGCTCTGGGGCGCAGGCTTAATAGTTGTGGCACACAGGCTTAGTTGCTCCGCAGCATGTGGGATCTTCCCGGACCAGGGCTCGAACCCATGTCCCCTGCATTGGCAGGCGGATTCTTAACCACTGCGCCACCAGGGAAGTCCTCTCATTGGGTTTTGATTTGCATTACTAATCTGATGATTAGTGATGTTGACCATCTTTTCATGTGCCTGTTGGCCATTGTATGTTTTCTTTGGAAAAATGTCCATCAGATCTTCTGCCTGCTTTTTAATTGGGTTGTTTTTTGATATTGAGTTGTATGAGCTGTTTATATATTTTGGATATTAACCCCTTATCAGTCTTATCATTTGCAAATATCTTCTCCCATTCAGTAGATTGTCTTTTTGTTTTGTTGACGGTTTCCTTTGCTGTGCAAAAGCTTTTAAGTTTAATTTTTGCTTTTGTTTCCTTTGCCTTAGGACACAGATACAAAAAAATATTGCTACGATTGATGCCGAAGAGTGTTCTACCTGTGTTTTCTTTTTGGTTTCCAGTCTTACATTTAGGTCTTTAATCCATTTTGAATTTATTTTTATATATGGTGTTAGAGAATGTTCTAATTTCATTCTTTTACACGTAGCTGTCAAGTTTTCACAGCACCACTTATTGAAAAGACTGTCTTTTCTCCACACTGAAAAGACTGTCTTTTCTCCATTATGCATTCTTGCCTC